CACCGAGGATGAAGTGCAAACCAAACCAGACGCGGACCTACGACCCCGAGGGCTTCAAGAAGCGCGCCGCGTGCCTGTGCTTCCGCAGCGAGCGCGAGGACGAGGTGCTGTTGGTGAGCAGCAGCCGCTACCCCGACCGCTGGATCGTGCCCGGAGGGGGCATGGAGCCCGAGGAGGAGCCGGACGGAGCGGCGGTGCGCGAGGTGTACGAGGAGGCGGGAGTCAAGGGGAAGTTGGGCCGGCTGCTGGGGGTTTTCGAGCAGAACCAAGATCGCAAGCACCGGACCTACGTGTTCGTGCTCACCGTCACCGAGCTGCTGGAGGATTGGGAAGACTCGGTCAGCATTGGCAGGAAGAGAGAGTGGTTCAAGATTGAAGATGCCATCAAGGTCCTTCAGTGCCACAAGCCCGTGCATGCCGAGTACCTGGAGAAACTGAAGCTGGGCGGCACCCCCACTAATGGAAACCCGGCCGCCCCGTCCCTGCCTGAGAGCGAGCCCTAGTATGTACCGCTCCCGCCCGCCCGGACTCCTGCCTGTCGCCTCCCCGCACTTGCCTCCTGCCTGCCTGCCTGCCTGCCCGCCCGCCTGCCTGCCAGGAGAGCACCTCTCCTGCCCTGTGCGCCCGCACGGGCAGGAGGGAGGCTTCTTTTGTTTCCTTGGCAGGCAGACCTCTGAATCACGCTTGCAAACTGTCTCGGTTGCCAGGCGCTGTTTGCAGACAATTTGCACGTTTTTCAGATGCTTTTCTAATCGCTTCTTGGTGACACTGTAAAAATCTTGTGGTCAGCCAGAGCTGCATGGGATTTCGTGAAAGGTGCCTTAGCTGCTTGCCCTGCTCTTCATGGAGGGTGTGTGTGTTTGTGTGTGTGTGTGTGTGTGTGTGTGTGTGCGCGTGTGTGCGTGTGTGCGCGCACGCGCGCACGCGCGTGCGCATGCTTGTGTGCCTGTCTGCCCTGTGATGTTTTTGTTTGGGTGGTGATTTTTTTCCTTTAAACGCCCTTTACATGTGTTTGTGCGTGAGTGTGCGTGCGCACTTTTGATGTCAGGCTTGTGGTCTGTTTCTTAGTGGAGGCCTTTAGAGTCCTACCAGCTGGCGGGGATGGGGGGGGGGAGGCGGGGCCATCTTTTTTATGCTTTTCCCACTTGTTTTCTCATTCACAGGCTTCACAGTGAATATGACTGGAGGGCGTATTTCTAACAACGTTCTAATTGTGTTCTACAATCTTTAATAAATATACATGGATGGTGACACTAATTGAGCATTTTTTTCTATAGGTTACCTTTCCAAATTTTGGTACACATAGAATTGGATATCATTCTTTTCCCTTCTTGGCTCTCTGTTACATAAATCCATCTAAGTAAAATATGTGTAGTAAACAAAATTGATACTGTCAAAGAAATGAGTACAAACCTGCTTACCAAAATTATAGCTTCTATAAACCAAACATGTAATTTGATATCCTAAATAATGCTGAATTATTGAATATGGTTTTCACTAATTACCGAGTAATCTAAATTACTGAATAGATATTCCCAGTAACCTCAGTCCTAAGAATATGCAACAATCCTACAGACACCGGATTATTGCTTTATTTCTGTATTGTATACATAAAAATACCTCTCTTCCAAAAAAAAATGCCAGGAATATGTTGGGGGTTTAACCACAATGTCAATATTCTAGAGGTATTACACAGTACTATATATTGACATTTGAACTCTATTTAACTAATTTGAGGAGACTGCTGATTTAAGCAATTTGCAGCCTTGTTCTGTAATCATACTTTGATTCATTTAAATGCATTTGGATTGAGCACTACCATTCGCAGAAATTTTTTTGGGACCCACAGATAATGTTTATGCAGTTTCTAATACTCTGGTATTTCCCATTTCCATATTGGAAGCAAAAAAAGTTCTCTTTAAGTTCAGACCTATACAGTTAAATATCCTTTCTGGGGTTCATTCTAGAAAATAAATAAATGAAAGCCTCCAAATAATCTCACCTTTTAATAGAAGAATTCCAGCAAATTCAGGTAAAACTGCTGACATGGAAATAAAGCAAATCCTGTCTAGGTCTTATATTCTCAAAAAGTTGCACGTACAGGTGACTTTTCTCTTTGGAATGGTTACTTAGTGCCTATGCATTTTACATGTTGGCTGCAGTGAAGATGTACAGCTGAATGTCATTTCCTCCAAGTCCAGTGTACTGATGAAAGATAATTAAGACTTTTCCACAAGATAACAGAAATTTGTTTTCAGTATGTTGTCTTAAAGGGCTGATTTTCCCTCCACTGGACAAGTGCCTATGCTTTTCCTTTAAAAAGCTTGAAGTCAAGCTGAAGTCAAAGTAATTTTGATATGCTTGATGCAGGCTTAAGATGTATTAGAAGCCTATGTTGTGTCGATCAGATCAGTTTTGCAAGAAGGGCTGAAACATGACTACAAATAATTCTTGGTATAGTTTCACCTGAAAGAATTGGTGTAAAGCTTTATATAGAAGCTTTAGTAGAAGTGGAAGTGTGTAACAACAAGAACAGGTAGCTTATAAAATAGCAGCACTGGTAGCAGCACTTCTGGGACACATGGTTTAACAGGTCCTGGACCTGGAATTGCTTCTTTCCTCACTTCCCTTTACATGGAGCTCCTTTATAAGAGTGAACAGTGTCTCCCTCGGTAGTTGTTCACTGGGGAAGGGAGCTGCAAATGCTTAGGGCATATACAATACTAACAGCTAGCCAAGCTTTTTTCTCAGAGATCTTTTTGTGGAAGCATCTGTTGTAGTTATGTTCTTAACTGTTCTCCTAATATGAACTCTTTGAGGACTAGGACCCATCCTGAATCCTGTGTAATAACGCCAGGGCCTCAAAACAGAGGCTAAAATTTGTCATTGACTCACACACTAAAAGTGTCTACTACCAGCGAATTCCTGATTTTCTGTTTTAAGCTTCATAACATACCTGGGAGAATTTATTTCTTTAGGCTCTCACCTGTGCTTACACTGGATAATTCACTGCAGGCTTTTCCGGTATAAAGGGTTGATGAACCATACTAAATCCTCAGTAAATATTTGATGTCTAGACTCTACAGGAATGGACAAACCAGTAAAACCTTATTAATCAGATTATCTTTTTTTAGGTGAATGGAATAAATGTTGTTCAGATTTACTTTGAAAGAATCAAGTATGTGAACCCAATGATGAATGGAATTGTGAAGCACAGGTGAGCTCTTTGACATCCCCAAGGACACAGCTCATCCTATGCTTTTGGACGCTTCTTTCCTGTTATTAACAATGGCTATCCTTCAGGTTGTTGCACTACCACTGTATCTGTACAGAATTCTATTCGGCACCTGTGGCCTTTCTGTGCTTTTGTCTGTATTCCCCCATCAGATATGACCTTGAATGCAAACAAATTGCTTTCTTAGTCTTTTTATATCTAGCATACATTACTTGATATATGGTAGGCGTCACTGAATATTTGTTTAATATTTTGTAATGATAATGAATGATAAAACATCCCTCTTCTAATATCTCTAGCTTATATGTATGTGGCTTTTGTATATCAGGTGTCCTACAACTATTTCAAGGCAGCTGTGAGATAGTAGCAAAAATTCTTATTCATATGTCTGTGTTATCCCAGACATTATGTACCTCCTACAATTGCCAAAATTTTGAACCTAAATTTAACTGTGCCTCTAGACATAATTTTTCCTCTATAGAAAATACTGCAGACAGAGAAACATTTACTGTATATCAAACAGATGAGAGTCATAGAATCCTGACTTCAAGAAAACAGAACAGATGATTCAGTTTCTTCAGTGTATAAGTGACAAGGATGAAAGGAAAGGGTGGAGGTTGAACCTGTGGATTGAAGAAGCCTTCAGAGAGTGATCAGTACTTGCATGGATCTTGTTTGGATCCTGATTTGATGAAACTAGAAGATGAATGAATTTATCAGACAGCTAGAATATTTTGAGCATTGGCTGGATATTTTCATGATGATTATTATAATGTTGTTGTTATATTGGAAACAAGACTTCTAATCTGCATTCAAATATTTACAGTTGAAATGATATAATGTCTGGGATTTGCTTCAAAATACGTCTAGCTATTAAATACACTGGACATACTCATACAAGATTGGCCTTTAAGATTGTTGAAGCTGAATGATGATTAAATGATGTTCATTATATATGTTCATCTCTGCTTTTGTATGTTTGACATTTTCCATAATAAAAAAGTTAATCAAAATCATTGGAAATGTTGGAGTTCTTCTAATTTACTCTAGTATATAATGTAGAGGGAAAAATGTGAGGAGGGAAAAGTTTATAGATTAATTTTTAAATGTTGGCTCCAGGATAATGCTTCTGGTCTAAGATGTCAAAGTCACAGAAATACAAGGAGACATGCCTTGGAAAAGGCTAATTACACCCTGGGTATAGACCAGTGCTTGGAGTTTTTCTTTTACTTTGTCCTACTGAGATGGTAACAGTTAAATCACAATTTACAACCATTGGATCACATTTTTCTTTATTCAGGAGAGTATTTTAATAAATCTTGGTTTTCCTTTACAGCAATTGGGAAATGGTGGTTGGTTTTACTATACTGAGGGGAGGTTTAGATACAGTTTGCATTCTAGCTCATACCAATGTGAAACCATGGGACAGGATCTCTAGGAGATTATTTTATAAAAATCCACATAATGCCATTTTAATAGTTTCTTGGCATTAGTTGTAGACTGTGTGCTGCACATGGTGCCTAATCTATTTGAAGGCAGGTAAATCAAGAAAATAAGCAGTTAGGATTCCTGATTGTGTGGGGTCATGGGCAGCAGAAATGAAGACATAGGTAAGTATAACTAAAGATGTGCTGTTACTAACAGCGTAGGCTCAGCTCTGACACTTGTGGGCTAAGGAGCAGGAAGGCAGTTCAAGCCACACTGCAGGCCCCTGTGATAGATGATGATCTCATCCCTAGGTATGAAGAAATATGAAGCTTCAGCTTTTGTTCCTGATAGTTTAGTGTTCCTAATCCCAAGGGCAAGCAGTTGCCTTGAACCAACTGTTGTCTGGACAGGGGTGGTGAAAGTCTCATCTTAGAGGATATTCTCTCAAAAGCTGGTTAGTGCTTTCAGTTACAGGGGTGCCCAGTGAGAAGGCATCATGATCCCCCTAAAAAATGCCCCCTTTTCCCTGGAAGTTGGTTCCAAATTTGGGTCAACTGATTTGAGGAGATTTAAAAGTGGAGGCAAGCAGACCTATGGGGAACTTGACTGGTAAAATAGTGCTTTGGAGTCCAATAGACTGTGGCTCAAAGATATTTGAGCAGAGTCCTGTAATGGCCTCTGCTAGACCTGTCCAATCTTCAGTTTTCCCATCTGTAAAGTGCAGTAGGTTTTTTTTTATAGTCCCTACCTTTGCAAACCCCTGCTTCTGAGAAGCACTTCATCTCTGAGTATAGCATACCAGTGTGTTCCCAGTACCCCACTGCTCTGTGGGGTCACAGT